CTCTGATTTTTACTATAAAATCAAAAAACAACGTTATCTTAAAAGTTTAGAATCTAGTTCAGAGTGGGAAGATACAAGCAACAGTAGTAATTCAATTGAAACAGTTTCACAAATAGTTAATGAGAAAAATAAAAGTAACAATTGCAGTGAACGTGAATGGTCTTTTGGTAAGTTCCTTTCCATTATCGTTTATACATTAATATATTTGCACAATTAAATAAATAATATGATTAATAATGTTACATTTAATTTTAGATCATTCAATCACGAATATGACAAATTCTTCCTCTGGCAGTTTTCATGTGGAAACAATAAATAATCCGGCTAATAATAAAATCTTGCATGATGAGCTCCCTGAAGAGCCTATTTTAGATGAGAGTTTGTACTCCAGAATAATAAAATGGATCATTAACAATATTGACAAGTTACCTATGACAACAGTGTACGAACTTTTGGAAATATTAATCAAAGAGGGATATAAAATGTTTCCACCAAAAGCACATGTTCTTTTAGGCTATAAACATTCTATAAATTCACAACCTGTACTGACTAAAAATAATACCTTTGGGCAGTATTTGTATTTAGGAATTGTAAATGGCTTGGAAAAGCGAATTAATCCGGAAATATTTAAAGAAGAATGCATAAAAATTGTTGTTTTTATTGATGGCATGAAAATATATAAGAGTACAAAAGGCCAACTATGGCATATTGTAGTACAACTATATGACAAGAAATATGAATCATCTCCATTTGTTGCAGGATTGTTTTATGGAGATGCTAAGTCCAGTGATGTTGACAGTATTCTCAATGACTTTGTGAATGAACTTAAATTATTGATCAACAATGGAGTAAAATTACATGAAAAAATATACTCAGTCAAATTAGTGGCATTAATCGCAGATGGACAAGCTCGTGCTTATTTAAAATGCATAAAAGGCCCTATTGCGTTTTTTGGATGTAAACGCTGTACCGTCGAGGGCATTACAAAAGAAAGGAAACGTATTTATCCTGATATTAATTGTGAAAAACGCACTAAAAATTCTTTTACTAATAAAGTCCAGCCTGAACATCATCAAGAGAATGTTACCACTCCTCTTATTGAAATTCCTGGTTTCGATCCAGTTAAAGACGTTGTTTTGGACTAAATGCATCTACTTTTTCTTGGTGTGAAGAAATATCTACTAGTAAAATGGGTAGAAAAAGGTAGCTTAGTCAGATTGAAACGACAAGACCGTAAAATTTTGAAAAAGTTGATGGATTCTATTAGTGAATATATGCCAAGTGAATTTCAACGAAAGATATTTGATATTCAGGATGTAGCTTATTGGAAAGCTACTTAATACCGTTTCATGCTCCTTTATGCTGGACCTATTGTTTTAAAAATAGTTCTGGATACAGCTATGTATAAACATTTTATGTTAGTACACGTTGCTTCCCGCATTCTCTGTAGTGAAGAGCTTGCAGTTTCAAATGTTGACTACGCTGATGAACTGTTAAAAAAATTTTTCGTATTAATGCCAACATTTTATGGAGAAGCTTGTCAAGTGATGAATTTCCATAATTTAATACATGTGGCCGATGATGTAAAATATCTCCAGGCTCCATTGAATGACTTTTCATCTTTTTGGGGAGAAAATTACATAGGAAAATTAAAACATTTTGTACAATCTACAGCAAGGCCTTTACTACAAATTGCAAACAAATTAAATGCAATTGAATTATTAGACAATAATAAAATTAAAAAAAAAAGTGTGTGCGTGTAACCTTTACGCGCGATTGAAGTAAAACTTCTTTGGCGTTGACGGCATATATCACTGAAATGATTAAATTTTAACTTGAATAATAAATATCACATTATAATTTAATTATATTTGGCTCCCCGCCTTTATTAATCCCGCCAAAATTTCTCAGCAAAAATTTCTCACAATTATTTACAATTAAGTACAATTATTTTGTTAGAATTAGGTAGGGCCTTTTAAATAAACAATACCAATTAATAGTTAAGAGTATTTATTAATATGTGCATCCGCACGTTACCAAAACTCAATCGGAAGTAAGTGGTGGTACAGTTCTCAAATCTCATCTCAAGCAGGGATCATGACATCACATGACCTCCCCACTACTCATGGGGTAAGACGGTTAGGCGTTACTTCCAGCACTCCCTCCCGTCTAGCCGTCTTTCACCATTTTACAATGATTCATATAAAATACATAAATTTTCTTAATATACAAAAGTTACATATCTCTGGCTACTAATAATGATAATAATTGTTCAATTAATATTACTAAGGCGTTGAGTCTTTGAGTTTATTTTCCTGAAACAGAATAGTTAATTATTTAACATTGATCTATTTTAGCATTCATTAATTTATCAGTCAAGTATTTATGTATATCAAACGCAAGAGGTTTTGTGAATATATCAGCAATCTGATTCTTTGACGGGATCCATTCAGCATCAACAAAATTTCGCGCTACACATTCTTTTACATAATGTTCTCGTATCTCTGTCATATGTCTTAATTTATTACCCCCACTAGTTTTCGCACACGACGCGGCAGCTTTATTGTCACACCACAATTTTATAGGATAAAATACTCTGTCCAAAATTAACTTAAGTGAATTACTTATAGCTATCAATACCTTACACGCCTCACTCATTGCTACATACTCTGCTTGATATGTAGACAGTGCTACATATGGTTGTTTATAAGTCCGCCAAGTGATTGTATCACCAAACAATTTTATGACATACCCACAAGTTGTTTGAGATCCTTTACAATCTGCTAAGCTCGCATCAGAATATGCTTGTATATCATTTTGCTCACCAGTGTACCTTAATCCTAAGGTTCTGGTTCCTTTCAGATATCTGAACACTCTTTCAACCATACGCCAATCGCTTTCAGTTGGATTAATTTGATGTCTACTTAATACATTACCCGCATAGGATATATCTGGCCGAGTTGCCCCGGCCAAGTATAGCAAACTACCGATCGCTTCTCTGTAAGGAACATTTTTAATTGTTTCAGTAGTAATTAACACATCATCATTTATATTTTCTTCTCTCAGCTTTCTTTCTCTATTAATTACCTGAGTGGTAACCATAGGCGTTCTCTGTGGACTCATATCACTAAAATTAAATTTTTCTAAGATTCTGCTTATATACTTCTCCTGACTAAGAATGATTTCTCGACTTTGTCTATCTCTAATTCCCAGAAATTCTTTTGGTTCACCCAAATCACTCATCTCAAATTCCTTTTTAAGTTTTAATTATACTTCAACCATTTTAGATTTGTCGTTAGAAGCTAAGATAATCCGAACAAAAACAGTTTCACTATAAAAAATTGCGCCAAGTCCACGTTCATAAAACTCATCTCAATAACATTTGTACTTTACAAAAAAAATTAGATTCGTTTCAATAATTTTCATTCTCTACAAAAAGATGTGAAATATAAAAAAATACCAAGAAACCGTCATAATGTTGAAAAAATTGAAAAACAATTTGTTGAAAATTAGAAAATTATAAAAAAAATTTTTTATCGTACTTGGCGCGCGTCATTGAGTACCCCAAATTTTTTCGGAAGAATTTCTACTGAAGAAAAATCGATTTCGCTTGAATATATATATTTATATAGATTTG